TTTTTTTTTCCCTGCCCACCCCTCTCTCTGAAAAATTTTCTTTTTAAATACAAGAAAGAAATGGGCTCTGGGTACTGGGATTCCTCACAGGGGAAATGGTTGAGGGCTGTCCGCTTGATTCAGGGGACAGTGATCGTGCTATGGTACACTCACACAAAAAAATAATTAAAAAAAAACAACCCTAAAAAAATTCCAACAAAAATTATTTCTAATAGGTCAAAAGTGAAAACAAGCGTGCTCTCTGTGGCTCTGATAGCACAACAGCTCAGGACATCATTGGGATTTTGTGCTGCCTGGTCTGCTTGGGTGTGTTACACCACCAGAGCGCCCTGATGGCGGTGCTCCTGGGCCCCCTTCCTCTGGGAGCCTGACCCGGTGCTTGTCCCCTCCCTGCAGGTGTGGTAACAAAGATGAAGATGCAGAGGACCATTGTTATCCGCCGAGATTATCTCCACTACATCCGCAAGTACAATCGCTTCGAGAAGCGTCACAAGAACATGTCCGTGCACCTGTCTCCCTGCTTCAGGTGAGCTCCTGGCTCAGCCCTGCTGAAGTCTAGGGCTCGGGTGGGTCCCGGACGTCCGGTACAGCAAACTGGACAGGGGCCTGGTGAAATGGCTGGGGAAGGAAGGTAGCTCTCCATGAGAAGGGCTGGTGGCAGGGAGAGTTGCTCAACACTCTTTGTGGAGCAAGGTGGGATCTGGTCCACATTTTCCCAGAATCCCTCTGGCTGATGTGGTTGGGCAGAGGGGTGCCTTGAACAACCTGTCCTTGGAACCTCCAGTTTTATGGTGTAAGAACTGTTGGCAGTGAGCCTTCTGCGCTGTCTAGAGGCGGTTGCCTCCCTCAGTTGCTGTGAGGACACTGGTTAACGAGACGCCCGCGCTCCACCACACTTTCAATGATCAGCTTTTGGAAGCAGGTGCCTGGGCGTTTGTGAGGCACCTCTGGGCGAGGTCGGACCTCCACCCTTTTCAGTTGGTGGCCCAGTGCTTAAGTTTTGCATCACCGTCAGGGTAGAGGAAAGCCAGCTTGGGAGGGGTCTGCTGTGCTGACACTTCTTCCCCATCCATGCACAGAGATGTCCAGATCGGAGACATTGTCACCGTGGGCGAGTGCCGGCCACTGAGCAAGACTGTGCGCTTCAACGTGCTCAAGGTCACCAAGGCCGCAGGCACCAAGAAGCAGTTCCAGAAGTTCTGAGCCGGACACCACCCTGAATGAAATAAAGCTATTTTTTTTTTCCTGTTCACATGCTGGACTTGTGTGGATATTTTGGGGGCCCTGGAGGGGATATTGTCTGGAAGAATACCAGACACATTCAATTTCATCGCCTGGGGAGTAAGGTTGGAACCCTGGGTTCTTGTCACCCCAGATTGCTTTCTAAGTAAACAAGGCCACCTACCCAGTCCCTGGGGAGGAAGTGAGGCTGGCCGCTCCAAGGTCCTCCCCACCTCCGGGTGGGGTGTGCAGGGGGCTTTCTAGGTGCCTTACTCAAAATAGGATCTCTTGGGCCTGGCTTGCTTGAGCCCGGTGAGAGGTGTGGGAAGCCCAGGACAGTTTGGCCTCTGTAGTGGATTCTGGTCTCATCTTCACCTGGGACTGAGACCTCTCAGATCAGGAAACTTCATACCTTTTGCCTCTTAAAACCAAGGAAAGAAATTGCCAGGGGCATAAGAGTATCCAGGGGGCAGACAATGATGGACCTACCTGGACCCCAGCTCAGTGGTTCCAGGCCTGGGAGTGGGTGGAGACCCCAAGAGGTGGGACAGCAGAGCCAGGATGAGGGATTGGCAGGTGGTGCCAGGGAAGGGGGGTCCAAGCAAGGCCAGGTGCCAGATACAGCTGGGTGGGAGCAGAGGGACACAACAGGGAGAGAACATGAACAGGTCAGGAGTGATGGAGGGAACCCATCACACGCAGGAACCCACAGGCTGAATCCCTCTTGGGACCTTGGCTGGACAGCTCCTTCAAGTTCGGGTGTGGGGTCCCCAGTCCCTGCCCCCCATACCTGTACCAGTGTCTGCAGAGCCACACTGGTACGAGGGTTGGGAGACACGGCCTTGGGATGATCAGATCCTGTGCTGCTGGGTCCTCTCTTCCCGCTGGACGCTGCCTCCTGCCGGCCCGGCCTCCCCTGCCTTTTACCGGGCTTGCAAGGGCGGGGGTTCCTGCCAGAGGAAGTGGGGACGCATCAAAGAGGGCAGGAAGGGGCAGGGGGCGGTGCACACCGCCCTGGTTTCAGCTTGCACACCAGCCCCACCCTGTGCTGGAAGGGGGCAGGGACCCAGAGTTAGGGAGACACTAAGAGGGGTAACTGGGACCAAGAGTGAGAACTGGACACACAGGGGTGGGGACTCAGAGATTCAAGAAAGAGGGACTGGGAGAGAGATGAAATGGGTGACCAAGAAATCCAGAGGACAGGGACCACAAAAGACTCAGAGATGGGGGACCAAGGCCTAAAAGAGGTGCAGAGAGGGAAGACATCCAAAGAGAAGGGGGCAGAGACGAAGAAGAGGGGGACAAAACCAGAGAGGGACGAGGGACAGAGGACCAGAGAGAGAGATCCAGAGAAATGGCAACAGTTTAGAGACATGGGGAGACAGATCCTGGGAAAGAAAGGAGGACAGACCCAGAGAGGGAGGGAGACCTAGAGAAAGTGGGGGACAGAGACCTGGAGGGTGCAGGAACCAGAAATAGGGACTTGAGGCTGCTCAAAGCAAGCGTCCCCCCTCAGCCGCAGGTGTTTCCTTTTGGGGTGGAGTTGCAGTGTTTACAACAACAACAGACCAGCTCCCCTCCACCACAGTCGTTGGGGTGTCTCCTTGGCACCCCATCGTGTTTCAGGCTGCAGAGTGAGGGTGCGGCCCTGAGCTGTTTGCTCAGGGGACAAACACTGACCTGATGAGCAGTGCGTGTGGGGAGGCAGGCTTTGAGGATGGGGAGACAGGACTCCAGGCCTGCTCTCCCCTGAGCTACATCAGCCCTTCAGAGAGACCCACAAACTGAAGGAGACCAACCTTGGGCTCCCCCTCACCTTCTACCTTCTCTCCAGGGTCACCCCTCTCCTCCTCCTGCCTCTGACCCTTCACAATGGCTCTCGGTCCTGCTGGAATGGCCTTCCTGGTTTCTGCCCGCTCCCTCCCGTTCAGCCGCGATCTTTCCTTTTTACCCACCCACTTCCCCTTAAGCTTCCAACCCTCCCTTCTTTGCTTTATTTCACACCGTCAAAGCTGTTTGCTGCATATTTGTACACTAACTATGCAAATCATTTCCCTTTCCATGAGCTAATTTTCTAAGTAGACTGCCAGGCCTTTCTTCCTAGTCTATTTTATGCCTATGTTTCTTTGCTGTTGATGATTTGTCTCCCCTGCTCGGCTCAGAGCTCCATGAGGGCAGCAATTGCCTTATCACCAGCTCCCAGCCTAAACCAAACCCCATTTCCAACTCCCTGGGGTCCCCTGGGGCAGCGCAGACCTGCCCCATTGGGTCTGCAAGGCTGTAAATCTTATGGACGCTAGCTGCCTCATTGTTCTCCTGGAGAGTGAGTGGCAGGTGGATTTGAACCTCTGATCTTCTGGTTAGAAGCCCAACGTTTAATCTCCTGTGCCACCAAGAGCCCCAGGATCTGGAGGACATGTAAGTGCTTCTTAAATACTTGCTGGGAGAAGGGATTAACTGAAAAAAACAGGGGTGCAGAGCCCAGGCCCCAGGATGCTGATAACTGGAAGCATTGGAATAGCAGGTTCTGTTAGAAGGATTTGTTCTCGGGCTCCACTTCTCACTAAGCGTGCAGTCTCTCGGACCCATACCACCCCCTCCTTCTAGAACCTTCTAGAATCAGTAGCTGGTTGCTGCTGTGGATTGACTCTGACTTGCAGCAAATGTGCTGAAGCCCAGCAGAGATTGTGAGGGCAGGAGAGGCTCCAGGCAGAGTCACCTTCTGTTCATTAAAGGGTGTCTGTGAGTCAGAGCGGACCCCCAAAGTCTCTAACAACAACTTAAGTGCAGGACAGAAGCGAACTGGCAATCCTGTATCATCCACTTCACGTGCACCCTCACGGCCGTGGCCTCTGCTTCCACAAGCATGACGTCTGGCTCCGGCGGGTGATCCCTGCCTGGTGCTCCTCCGTGTCAACGAGAGAGCCCGGCTGGCAATGTTTGTTTGTGATCCATGCAGTTTTTCACGGACTGATTTTTCAGAACCAGATCACCAGGCCTTTCCTCCTAGTCTCTTAGAGAGCGCCCCTGAAACCCTTCACCACAGGGGGGACCCTGCTGGTGTTGGAAGCAGCAGTGGGCTAGCATCCAGCTGGGAGACTCCTGACCTGTAAAATGAGCTGCCCTTGGCTCTTGCCTCTCTGTCCCGCTGGGAGGAAGCAGCTTGCCTGTGTGTTAGTGAGCACCACCAAGTGTGTGTTTGTAAGCGAGCCTTCTTGGGGAAGTAATTATGGCAGGAACCCAGAGTCTATTGTTACACCCCACCCCCACCCCCCGGTAAATCGCATTGCTGCAGGCCCTGGGCCCCTCAGGGCAGGGATAGGATATATCATGCACAGCCAAGACAGCAAACAAAAGTGTCTCCTGCAGAAATGCGTGCAGCCAGAGTGCTTCTCAGAAGGTGCTGTGAGATTGTGTCTCGCATACTTTGGGGCATGCTGTCCTGAGGGACCAGTCCTTAGAGAAGAGCATCACGCTTGACTTACTCAGAGGGTTAGAGATGGGTTGACGCGGTGACAGCAGCAGTGGGGTCCAGCACAGCAGGATGCTGGGGCTGCTCTGAGTTGGATCCAACCTGCTAGCACCGGGCACTGACAGTGGGCCAGTGACAGTGGAGGGGCATGGTGCATTAGGTGTTGGGCTGCTAACGGAAAGGTCGGCAGTTTGAACCCAACAGCGACTACTTCATGGGAGAAAGAGGTTTACAGCCTCAGAGACCTCTTGGTGTTGGGTCACCGCGAGGCTGGCGCCGCTCCTTGGCAAGATGATGGGATTTTTGTGTGGAGGGAGATGATTGAACCGGGGTGGGGTCCTCTGAATGTGGGCAGCCCTGCTGTACTGCCCTGGATGCCTCATGCGGTGATATGGGGCTGGGGCTGGGGGGTAAACCCAGGGGTCTAGCTTTAAAGCAGACCTCGGCTGTATGTAGAATAGCTTATGGATGGTTTCAGGGCGGGTCAAGATTCCTCTCAAACACCAACTTAGTAAGACACCAAGGACATTCTAGAAGACTTTGTGTTACAATTGTTCTCTTGTGTCAACAAGATGTTGAGTGTTTTCTGACTTCTGGCAACTGACCCCCTTGTTACCACTCTGCAGGATTCTGTTAGCTGTAATCTCAGAGGAAGGAACCCTGGGGGCACGGTGATCTAAATACATTGCTGCAAATGGAAAGATCAGAGGTTTGAACCC